TATATATAGATATATATCTGTCAAATAGATATATATATATATATATAGTTATATATATATATATTTATCAACACTCCTCTGGTTTAATATAGATTCCGTACAGAGCAACATTTATGTACATTACACACAAACAGATTGGGCCGTTTCCTCATACACAGACATCAGAGGGTATTTGGTTGCCGACATCCACAGAACAGCTTTGGAGCATTGCTAGTAAAAAATGACATTAGTGCAAATATAACCCCAAAAGAAAAAAAAAGGTAGAAAAAAAACCAAAACATTGGTAGCAAGGTTATAGCACATTGGGGACGAACAAATTCTGTGGTCAGAGCGGCAGCAAGGTCTACATATAAGCGTGCATCAGGACTTGCCATCCTCAAGTTTTCAGTCTTTCACACTCATTTCAAAGCATATTTCTTCCTCGCCATGCTTCATCTGCTAAATGCAGTAGCCAAAAGAAAGTGTGTTTTTGTGAAAAAGAAAAAAAAAGAAAGAAAGAAGAAGCTATGGCTCAATTTGCTGGTATCAACAATTTATGGAGTAAACTGACTGACGAGCAGGAAAACCCTATTGTCTTGGAAAATACAGGGTCTCTAATGTAACTGGATGAAAGGAGCTGATTGGCTCCTGCTATCAGCGATCAACAATGTGAATGATTGGTTGATCTGTTAGTGAGCTAAGCTTGCAACGGTAAGCGCAAGTGAGAACCATAAAATAGAGCTAATGAGGGCAAAATCCGAGCTCCTTATCAACTCTGTGGACTAATTTATACCTCGTCTCTCCATCTTCCCCTTAGTCCATTTGCAGCGTGTGGTATCCAATAAAGCAGTAATGTAAAAATGACCTTAAAAATAAAGTTGCTTTAACAGTAATACAAAAGTTTGGCGATGAGGAATAGAACTGTTTTTTTGCTGGGACCAGCCAAACAAGTCTGAATCAGATATTGAAGTAGTATAAAAGCAAAAGCTTGACACATGTAAGTTATTCAATGTGAACCAAAAGTTCACACTGCACCCCTCAGCTAGACCATACCATGTGTCCTCTGCTTAGCACCAGGCTTTAGGTCATGCGGCGACCTCAATAAACAACATTCAGTCTGCTAACGCTCAGTATTCACTAAATCACAACACTACTGACACCCAGCAGTGAAAAACAAAAAATGTGGAGAATTTCTAGACGTTATGAAATGTTAAGACTTTGTCACGGTATAAAATGCAACCATCAGTAATCGATAGTCTGATCAATTGTTTGATAAATCGTGGCACCCAAACACTATGAAATGTACAGCAGTGAAAGTTCAAGCTGTACAAACAAAGGCAGGAGCAACCATCGCCCTAAATGTCGGGCATCAAAAGGTAAGGGGTAAAAGCATGATTGTAGGGGGGGGGGAGAAAGAAAAAGGCCGGGATGGAAATCCGATTTTCACATTTTCTGGACATGGTGTAAAACTCCCAATTCATTCTGAGATGAGATTACTGCATCCTGTTTTTTGTATTAAATTTGAATCCCTGTGAAAGAACATGTGGAAAACAACTGCACCTGTGATGAAATCACTGCTGGCATGGGTTACACCTATCATGGGAAACCTTTCATTGCTCCAAGTACTAACATTTTATAAAGCTGCAATCATTGTCTTCTCTTTTTTTTTTTTTTTAATACCGAGTGATGAATTTCTGTTTAGAGATTGTTTTAGATCTTTTGAAACATAATATGGATATGAACGAGTTGGACATGATGGGAGAGCCAACAGCAAACAGTTGGACAAGTACAATAGGGGATTATTTAGATTGTGTGATTATATATGCATGCATGCATGTATGTTGTGTGTGTGTTAAAATGGAGCTCAGGGGTTGAATGGAGGAGGGGGTGGAGGACGAGGAGGAGGTTCCACTGAATGGGGAGTTGGTGGGTTAGATTGTGATGATGGACCAGTAGAGTTTTCCTTGCTGTCCACAAGGGAGACTGATTTTAGCTGAGGGAGGGATTCGGGTTCAGCAGGGTTCGCCTCTGCTTGGGTCAGTACCTGTGACGTTGGTTGGCGAAAGGTGGAGACAGAATGGCAGTGAGATGCAGGAGCGTCAGGTGTGTCTGATGTGCAAGAGGTAGAGAAAGAAGATGCAGAAGGGTGATCTGCAGGGGACTGGTGCGGCACAGAATCAGTTGCAAGAGGAGAAGAAGAACAAGAGGAAGATGATAATGGAGGGTTGACAATGTGCAGGGGAGCAGACTGCATGCCAGTGGGGGAGGTGGAAGAGGAGGCTTCCCCAGCTGATGTGGTAGTTTCATTATCTCCCTCCTGCTCTACTGACGCTTCCTCTTTCCTATCCTCCAGTAGAGTGCTGTGGTCCTCCTCCTGCTTGTTGCCTGGGGCTTCTTCCTGTCCTGCAGGGTTCTGATTGGCTGCAGGTGTCTCTTGGGTAGCTCCACCATTAGTTGGTGATTGGCTCTTGAGTTGTGAATGACAGAGAGGGCACGTTTCCTGGACATACAGCCATTTCTTCAGACAGCCAGCGTGGAAGAAATGACTGCACGGAGTGATCACAGCACTGGTCATGTCCTGGAACAAATCAAATTTCACATTAGCCTACCTTTTAAAGCCCCAGATTAACTCTCTCATGCATCCTCTTTAGATAAACATAAAAACAGTTCATACCTGGAAGCAGATAGCACAGATGTCGTTATACTGCTGCAGCTGTGTATTGCTAGCTGTGGGGAGGCTTTTTATCTTGTTTACAGCATCTCTCCTGAGCAGGAAGCTCTGCCAGCCCAGCTGGGCTCTGAGCCAGACGTTATAGTACGAGTGGACCAAGATGATGGTGCTTCCCATCACACTCCACTCGCCAAATATAGTCTCTGATACACCATAGCACACCACGCACACCGCAACCTGGCGAGGGAACAAATCACTGACAGTGAGGCAGAGACCGTGCTGATGCATTAGATGACAGTGTCTGTTTACAGTCAGAAGGCAGAACTTAGCAAAGAGTTGGTGTATGTGTGTGTGACATACCAGAAACTCCAGCAATCTGTAGGTCCCATTTACACAATATATGACTTCATCCATGTTCTCCACTGGAGCTTTACGAAACTCCTCCACCATGAAGAGAACATAGATCAAAAGAGTGCCAAGGACCTGGCGGTACAGTGTTTCAGAGTTATTATGGAATTAAACAAAAAAGCAAATATAAATGTTTAATTAGTATTAGGCTCAACTGTTTGGGTAGAGCAAGTTTAAACTATTTTATTTAATGTTTTTGCACACTGCGATGCGGTTGTGTGTTACCTGGAGAGAGGTGAGGATTGAGGAGGAGATGATGATGAGAAGCCAGAAGTCCATGTGGAAGAACTGGCAGATCATATAAGCCATGTACGCTGGAAAGATCAGCAGGAAGAGACAGAGAGAAACTGCACGGAAGTGCTTCCACAAACTCCTACGGGACAGGCAGCAAAACAAGCATATGAGAAAGCAGCCAGGTTGATAGCAGGCTTTGTATACACACATTGAGTCAGATTACATTTATTGATGTCAAAAAGACTAACTGCCTGTTTAGGTAGGAATGAAGAAAGAAGGACTGTACACTGTAGTGTTACTTAATTTATGATGTTAGCATGAGTTGTACTGATGACCATAGATAATGAATACTGTGATAATTAACTAACTGCCCATAGTTATTAATAGTTGTTTATGATCAGTACAAAATAAAACAAACAGTGGGACACAGAGTTTTCTTAAAAATAAACACATAAAAAAAGTCTTTGATATATTCTCTTACTTGTCTCTAGATGCTCCCAGGGCTAGGACTATAGGATCTGCTATCTCCAGCATGGACTGCAGGATGGAAGCAACAACAATAAAGAGGATGATAGAGAGGAGGAAGGCTCTGTGGATGACCTGCAGCTCAATGAGGCCAGTTTGGACCGCAAGGATTAGCAAGGTGATACCTTCAGTCATCCCCCTGCACAGAGAGGAAACAAATTAGAGTTAACACACCACACAATTATATGCCTTGGCTTTGCACTCAAGTTGGAGATCATATACACGTTTATCCAGACTTGACTTTTGGGTATACAATGTCAATTATTTTATCCTATTAGACAGTTGTGTGAAATGCAGACATCCTTAAAGAATACTTCCAGATATATGTGTTTCCACACGAATGGGATAAACAGTCAGAAAACATATTGCCTTCAGTCATGATGGTTACTGGGACAGAGAGGCTAAAACAGACTAAACTAATTAAAAGAAACATACCAGAAGACATCAAGAAAATAAAAACCTTGCTGACCTGTGCATGGTGTTGTCATTCATAAAGGCTCTGTAGCCCTGCAGGTAGAACTTGCACAGTGTGAGAACACCCAGCGCAATGAAAGAAACTGTGAAAACCAGACCCAGCAAAGAGTACGGTGTACTACAGCATTCTGCGATACTGGAGAAAGGAGGAGCAAATTACTTAGAGAACATGACAAAAAAACAACAACTTTCTAAACAATTTTAAATATTTAGATCCCGTCCTTAAAGTTCTGATGAGTATCTCAGTCGTCTGCTTTAACTTAATTCTGTCCACCAGTGCAAAACATGGGTTATTTAGCACTGTGACAAATGGATCCAACACATCTTTTAGAATTTCCTCTTGACACATTTCTGCAAAATTATCTCAAAATCTAAAAACTTGCTTTACTCAAACTCTGCAGACTGACTTGCTTTGCAATCTAATGTCTCTGTAATTTATATGATGCTATATAATTTATATACTTTTATATAATTAGATTTTCTAAATAAAATCCAGTACATCGAAACTAGATTTATGTTTTGTACACACTACCTGCCCCTTCAATGATACAAGGCAATAAATAGATAAACACACCTTCTAAAGGGTCAGTGACGTAAAATGTAAAGTGTCTTGCAGCCTGATTTATAGTCTTACCTTGTAAGAAAAAGGAAAAGCAGCCTCTCTCTGGAAGTAGGCTGGTCTCTTGTGCTGAAGTAGGAGTATATCTGCAGAGCAAACAGCACGAGCCAAAAACACATGAAGAGAACTGGAAGGACCAGCTGGTTCCACAGTGACATTCCCAAAGCAAGAAGCCCGTACACTTCTACCACCTGCAGGACAGAAAAAGACCGAAATAAAGAATACCTTTGATACCATCTACAGAAAAATATCTCAGAACTGAAATCCTGTCACAGAAACTGAAAAGCTTGCAACATCAGCCCACAATAAATACCTGAGCCAGCTCTCTGTAGGCAGTCTTGGCCAGGTTATATGGTACCAGCAAGTTAGACGCCAGGAAGTAAATGACCTCCAGGCCCGTGAAGATCATTGAGAACTTATTGATGAAGACGATGGTCTCGAGTGGGACCAGACACAGTCTAGCCACTAGAGGGAGGAGGTGAGCAGAGAACAGCCAAATCCTCTTGGTTTGCATCACACAGGAACAAAGTGTACAAACCACCAGCTGACCTGAAAGAAGACACATACACACATATATAAAACAAAGAGTTGAATAAATGACTAAAGACACTATTATCACTCTGATTTTAAAACGTTTTTTGTGATGTGGTATTTATCATTTTCGTGTAACTGACAATTAAAAGAAAATTTATCAGAATATTTATAGCTCTCCTAGAGTGGTGAAAATGTGTCAAACACCAAAAAGGAACAAACATTTAAAAGAGAAGAGAAGCAGCTTTAATCTCACATTGCTCCTTACAGTAGCATATTTTTGTCACTGTACTCATCTTATTTTCGCTTTCTCAGGCTTTCACTACGCAGTAAAAGCAGCACTCTGCGGTCTATTTATAGCACAGGAGACTCCATCTATACTCTCTAGTAAGTTTAAACTAGGTCCTAAAAACACAGACTCTACAGCATTTTCTATTTAGAAAATGATACATTTTTACATAAGTAAGCATAGCAGCAACAGACATAATGAAAAATTACAAGAGGTTATTCTTTTTGCTTTCCCACCCAGAGGAAGACTGAAGCACATACGTATGTGAGCACTTCTTAATTCTGGAATTGGTACAAATTAGGTTCCTTCATAATCCCATTAATGTGGATGCTGTAGCATTGGGTATTTATATAATTAATGAAAGTGCTCACATGGACATGAGAGCAATGCTAAATATGTACATATGTGCAGCCAAGTATTCTATTTCCACTTTTTTTGTTAAAAAGACAAAAACAAGGTGTACTTATTCATGTTACACAAACATTTCTTAAGGAAAAGACTCAAGTGTCTGCTTTTCTTTTGCCAGTACCTGTATGCATCTTCTTAGCAACTTTGCACAGTCTACTATAGTCCATGAATGTTTACTGACCCAGGTTACACAAATTCAATGAATAATCTCAACTTACTGCCCCATGCAGGGTCCAAAAACACAATCCCAAAATGAAGACTGTTTTCTTTTGGATGAAATTTACACAGACCCATGGCAAAAGATGCATCCTACTCGTCATATGCTCTGAATACTATGCCCATTCAGTTTAGCCATTTGGTTAGAGCATATGAATTCAGAGCTTTAGTCCTACTGGTTGTACTGCAGTGCTACAAGGTGCCAATCTATAGAATTAATGTTCCTATACTTTGTACAGCAATATGTGCAGCCATTAAAAAGAAGGAAACAGTTCAAATTTAAATAAATAAATAAATATCTTTCTGCTGCCCAAGTGGGTCTACGGGTCTGTATCTATTAGTGGTGCAACGGATCGCGGTTGATCCGTAATCCGAACTGATCCCACTCCACGGTTTGGCACGCACGTGATCCGAAGATTCGAAAAAGAAGAAA